ATATATAAAATAAAATTAAAAATTAAAAACTAATGATCGAACAAAATCAAAAGTTTATTCCCTCAGAAGTCGTTTAAGAAAACATACAAATCCAACCAGAATGTCGTACATCATTATCATTATTGACGTATATACGAATACTTCTTTTTGTATGCTACGGTTTAAATTTAATTTGACCTTTTTATGTAGTTTGCTGAATATTAATTTAGGTGCACGTAGGTTTGACTTAGTTACCTGAAACGGCAGAGCAAATAGAAGATAACGAATCTTTGAACCATCCCAACTGAACTCCCAAAGATGCATTCGTCGGAATACCAACCCCTCTTGCTTCATGAAACGATGAATCCAACGCCGTCGCACCTGCCACCGCATAATTCACTCCTTCTCCCAACTCCGTCACGTGGACGTTCGTCTCGCTTCCCAGAGACGGTGGTATCAACGGCAACCCAAGACTCTCAGCTTCAAAACAAACAAGAAAAACTAATTCACTCACTGTTGAAGAAAAACATATACAGCCATAAATGCTCAACAAAGAAATTCGCATGTCTTCGTAATTTCGTATGCATTACCAACAAAGTCGATGATCAAACGTCCATTAGAACAACGTCCAGTGGGTTTACTGAAAAACGTTTCGCCATAAGGTGGAAACAAGAAATGGGGTGGCTGAACGTTGGATTTAGAGGCCATTTCTTTCAGGTTTCCGGTGTCAGCAAGGGAGTCCCCGAAGCTTATAATTGACGGATAACATGCATTAGTATACACGTTACAGGAAAACAACAGCATTAAAATGGGGAAGAAGGTTGATGAATTTGCCATTAGAGAGGGTTGAAGGAAACAATCTGATTTACGGAATTACGGTATTAGAAAGCTTGGTTGGTGATCATTTATAAAGAAAAAGAGAGCTCGTTTGCTTCAGATATACACTTGGAATATGACACGAGTCTTGCAGTGACTTTTGTGAAGTTACATTATTGCCCTTTGATGTAGTTGATCATTCCATATGGCTAATTAAGTTGATGATAGTAGGTGACCCAGTCCATTTAGGTTCAGATATTTTTCTTCGAAAGGTTACCATACAATTGACACAAATTATTAAAAACTTTGAATTCCTAATTCAAGCATTTACTGCAATATTGTATATGTAATATGACTCTTCTTATGGTTGTCTTAATTTGAGACACCACAACACAATTAGTTGATAAAATAATTTATTTTCCGAATTTTTTAAGTTGTTATGTTTCACAGACAAAAAAAAAGTTTATAACTTAGACTAATTTTTCAAAAATATTAATTTTTTAACTTTCCAAAGATACTGTTAACTAATTATAAAAACATATCTTCTCAATATCTTTTTATATTATTTTATATCATACATCTAGTTTATCGTATTAAACGTTTATTTTTTATCAGGTAGTTTTTAATTAGTACGACAGATATTCTAAATACTAATTATAAGTTATTTTCTTTTCAAGAAAAAAGCACAACCTTAATTCAAGACATGCATATATATATAGATCGATTAAGGAAAATACTTAAAACTTTGTTTTGGATATTTTTTCAATATCTATATATGATGGTAATTTTTGTCTGGATAGTGCATGGGAAGTATGAGTATTGTATTGAAATATTCCTATGAGAGAAGTTCTCCGACACTAGGAAAGGAGATTAATGGATAGGGTCAAAGTTGTCATATTTAATTGATCAATCGTGATTTGACAACTATACCCCCTATTGTATCAAAGGCAATAAAACAAAACTCACCTACTCCCGTTTCTATCCAATTTTTTGATTTCCGAACATCGAAAGTAATTTACAACCACAATAAGAATTCCGATTGTTTTAACATACAGCTTTCATGTTTTCAGTGGTTGTAAAATAACTATCATAACTACAGTTGCTAAGATACTAAGTTTATGAGTAAAAGAGCGTTAACAGTTTATCAACTTTAATGTAGTTTTTTGTACGTAATTCAAAAAACAAAACCTTTGTTTTGCAACAATATCAGCGTCCAATAATAGTTAAGGCCGTTAAAGAAGGAAGTTAAAGAAATATACATAATTGAAACTTGTAAGCAATCCATATGGCTCTCATCGTAATCAAGATTACAACAATATTTGTTTGAAAAAATATATAAAAAGTCTCTAAGCAATAATTATCACCATTATTACACCATTTCTTTCGGTTCAATCTCCAAGTATTTAAATGCCAAAACTTTTCTCAGAATAGATATAGTGGCGGAATAGACAATAGCTTAGTCCAGAATCACACATATTTATAATTCATTTCTTTCTTTATGGGCCTAGTTTTCTATAATGTTGCGCATAGGGTAGTTCAAGTTGTTAAATATATTATCTCAAAATATAATTCCAAAAAATTGTAACAAAAGCATACCATTTTTTCCAAAATACAATCATTTTTTTCATAAAACATTAAAAGTCTTATTAACAGAAACAATAACAACCATTCAAAGTCTAATAAAACAATAATAATCATTCAAAGTAATCTAAACAACTAATAAAGTTTAATAGTATAACTTGTTAGATGTTTTTTAAACATTTTTAAGACATCTATTTCATTTACATCATATTTAAGCTTTAAATTTCATATATTTCATATATATTTAAGGACCTTTATATAAATTGATGGAACATTTTAATTTGTATATTTTTGGATGGTTTTCAAGTGGTTTGAAGATTAGAACACATTTAAGATGTCGTTGGGCAGTTACAGTTCAAATTTCTTGAAGATTGGTGTTGATATGTAAAAGTTGAATTTTCGAAGATCTATACCTTTATAGTGAAGTTAGTTAATTTATTATATTCGTAATTGTTTTATGAATTAACATAAATAACAAATAACATTTGGTTCTAATTTAGGTCTTAATTTGTTGTAAACATAAAATCACAATTTTTTACGTTTCTAAGCTTGTGGAAAGCATTGAGTATTGTTGAGAATATATATATATATATATATATATATATATATATATATATATATATATATATATATATGTGTGTGTGTGTGTGTGTGTGTGTGTTTTGAATCTAATGCAACTTTTCAATCTTATTCTAAAAACTTATTTGGATTAGGGGTTAATAAAGTTAGCTCTAGTTACTTATTTTGACTAGATAATTTGACAAGTAAAAGTGATATTAGAGCTTATTAATATTACTAGTACCAACTTTTCATCATTATATTTTATATCTCAACAATCTCGCACTTTGAGGATAATTCATCAAACAAATTCTACCTTCCAAGATGTAACCCGAATCATCTCTAGTTTGCATCTTCGAATCTAATTCTGAGGAAGACCAATTGAAGCCATACACAACTTCAACTTCTCCATTATTACCACTTTTGTGAACATATTTTTTGGATTCTTCGCACTGAGGATCTTCTTCAAATTGAGAATACCTCACTAATAATTTTTATGATAAAATGGAATCTCGTCTTGATGTGTTTTGTGCTACCATGAAACATTAGATTCTTCGTAAGGTGAATTGCACTTTGGTTATCAAAATGTAACACCCAATATTCTTGATTTAAGTCTGACTCTGATAGGAAGTTCTCAACTAAATAAGTTATTTGCTAGGTTCTATTATCGTTATATACTCTGTTTCAGTGGTTGTAAGATCAACACTCGTCTGTAGTTTTGATATACAACTAATTGTGGTTCTTCCAATTGTGAACACATAACCGGTAATGCTTTTACCTGAATCCATACAACCCCCCAGATCAGCATCACCGAAACCTTTGATAATGATATTCTACCTTTGATAACATAAGACATTTGAAGTTCCCTTCAAATAGCGAAGCAACCATTTGAATCCTTCCAAATGATCCTTCCCTTGATTTAACATAAAATGACTGATGACTCCAACTACATGAGAAATATTTGGTCTGGTGCACACCATTGCATACATCATGCTACTAACTGAAGACGCTAAGTAACTTTCGACAATTCAGCCTTTTCTTCTTTGGATTTTAAGGATTGACTCTCTGAGACTTTCAACTGACTCACAAGAGGCATACTTCTAGAACTTTCATTAGTCGTATTAAACTTCTCTAAAACTTTATGACTGTACTTCCCTTGAAAACGTTTTAGCATTCTGAAAGCATCTCCTCTAACTATACTCATGCCAAGTATTTGTTTTTCAACCCTTAAGTCCTTTATCTAGAACTCCCTAGACAATTGCTTCTTCAACTTGATGATTTCTTACATTGTGGATCCAACTACAAACATATCATCAACATAAAGCAAGAAAATGATGTATGAGGATTTAAATTTCTTCATGTAGTAAAAGTGATTACTCTCACTTCTCATGTACTCGTTCTTTCTCATGATATTAAAAATTGGACATATTTTTTGAAAGTTTATAAACATGTTAGATTAAAAAAATTAGGTATAAATTGCATGAAACAGTTTATAAAACATGAAATATTGTCCTACTTATAAAGTTGGACCGAAAATATTTTTGTGTGTAAATGTATGTCTAATGGCAGTCAACCAAAAAGTAGATGCAACATCTCTGTCATCCAATTCTGACACGCCAAAAAGCATTTGGACCCTCTCCTCTTCTCCCTTCCATGGCTATAGACGAGCTAACATATACCAAGGTGGGTCCTAGGACCCATCTAAGTTTTTAATTTTATTTAACATTTATATTTGAAAAGAATTAGGACATACCTTGAAAAAAATTAAGACCTGCCTTATAGTGTTGGCCAAATAAGAAACAAATATATAAAAGAAATGATGGAAGGTGTATACTTAAATTTGCAAAGCAAATGGTTAATGCTTATTAAAATCTATCTCACATCGGAGATAAATAGAAAGAGATGTAGTTGTACGATGTAAAAATCTATCTCACATCGGAGATAAAGAGAAAGAGATGTAGTTGTATGATGTTAAAATCTATCTCATATCGGAGATAAAGAGAAAGGGATGTAGTTGTATGATGTCACAGGATCATAGCAATGATATCCTTTATGTTCAACACCATACCTCAAAATTACACAAATAGCAGATTTCGGCCCCAACTTGTTCCTCTTAACATGAGGAAGAAGAACAAAACAAGTACATCCAAAAACTCGTAGAGCGGAGTAGTCAGGTAGGTGACCATATAACTTCTTAAAATGAGACATTCTTGAATTCAACGTAGTAGGGATATAATTAATCACATAAACAATAGTTAAGATTGATTCTCCCGAAAAGGTACTAGGGACCTACGTAGACAAGAGCAATGAGCGGGCTGTCTCAACAATATGACGGTGTTTTCGTTCTGCCATATCATTTTGCTGAGGAGTGTTAGTACACGATAACTGGTGTATGGTACCATCAGAAACAAGTAACTGAGTAAAATCATTATATGTATATTCACCACCTAAGTCACACTTGGAACACTTTATCACAGTCGAATGTTAAGTTTTAACAAGAGCTCTAAAATTGTTGTAAATGCCAAAGAAATCATATATGTGTTTCATAAGATAAACCCAGGTATAGCGAGTACAATCATCTATGAAAGATACATAATAAGTCGAACCACCCTTTATGGATACTAGTGAAAGACCCCACACATCAAAGTGAATAATATCAAAAGGACCAATAGAATAAGACATACTTTTACTTAAAGGTAAAGTAGAGAATTTTGACAGTTTACAACCACTACAATTAGAAATATCACAAGTGTTAAAATGACCCAAAACATCACTAGATGCTAGAAAATGTAAATATGATACAGAAACATGTCCAAAACGAGAATTCCAAAGATAAAACTGAGACAACAAATGACTCAAATGAAAAGAATACAAATCAACATTGGAGTCAGCAACAATAGACACTTTAAGAATCTCCAAGACATATAGTTCCCCCACCCTACAGCCAATCCCAATCACCTTTATGGGTGTGTTGATCATGTATAACACAGACAAAATAAAAAAAACACCTAATTTCCAGACTTACACAACTGATTGACCGAATCAAGATTCAAAGTGAGTTTGGGAATGTAATAAACATTAGGGAGAGAAACATGCGGAATAGAAACAGCCCCAACACCCTAAACTGTCATAGATGTATCACTAGCAAACATAACAACGATAGATGACATGTGTGACAAAGAAGTAAACGATGAAAATAAGGATACATGTGATGGGTTGCACCATAATCTAAAATCCACATAGATGAGGGAATACCTGAGGTACCAGATGAAGTAGGACCAGAATGAGTCACAGATGCAGACATGGCAGTAGGATTAGGGGCCAAATATTGTATGAAACTCTCAAAAACCTTGGGATCTAACGCAGAAGGTGGCATGTTACCAACAAACTAAGTGTCAACTGGTGGTGTAACAGCAACAACAAATTATGGAGGCGCGAGGTGTCAATGGAGGAGCACCAGAAGAAGAACGTGGTTGAAACTTCTGCTGACCAGACCTATATTGTAGTCCCGACTGAGGTTGTTTACCCTTATTAACTAACAATGGACACTGATATTTCTAAAGATTTTTCTGTTTGCAGAAGGCACATTCATCATAACCAACCCTTGGAGCTTGTCAAGACTAATTAGTGGGAACAGCAAGCACAACAGGAGTGGAAGTAAGAGTGGAAGTTACTTTAGACCCTTTATCCACATGAGACTTGATACGAGTCTCTTCTGCAATCAGTTCATGAACAAATAAATCCATTGAGGGAATGGGGCTATTAAGAATCGTTCCACGTAGGCCTTCAAAATCAGAATGCAATCCCATTAAAAACTAAACCAAACGTTGTTCTCCCTCCTAGTAATATAAGGAAAAAATATTTTAATTCTTTAGATTCAGTAAGAGCCAACTGATCCCACAAATCTGACATAACAGCATAGAAATCTTGCATATTCATATCATTTTGTTGAAGGGTATGAATGTCATATTCTAACTGATACTGTTTAGCAAAGTTGGACTGAGTATACAGTCTCTCTAAATGATTCCAAACTTCCTTTGATGTGTCATATTTAGCCAATTGCATACCGATAGACTATGTAATAGAATTATCAATCCAAGTAATAACCTTCGAGTATCAGTCTCCTAAGTATCAACCAACAAATCAAAATTCTCAGTTTGAGGCACTGAAGGTTTAGCTTTAACCCCAGTGATATAGCCCCCACATATTCTTCCTACGGAGGAAGTTTTTCATAACATAGCTCCAATATGTGTAATTGTTTCCATCTAATCGAGTACTGAATGACTGAATGGAATCATCATTTCCATTCATGTTTGCAACTGATAGATAACCACAACAAGAACAACAACAACAACAACAACAATAGACATGTAAACAAAGACTAAGAACAACAACAAACCCGCGGAAGCAGCAAATTAAACAAAAAGAGAAGAACAATGGAAGACGGAAAAACAACATCAAACGATCAGCAACATCAAGCGATCCACACCATGGATGACTGCTACAGAACCTTCAATCGTGTAACCCCCACAAGATAGGGCTAGATGATTAAAGAAGAATAGGATAATTAATTGTCAAAGCGATAAATAGATACCATCAATGGAGGATTATTTAGGGAAGATAATCTACACGAAAGTCACAGTAGTCGTAAAACCGAGAGCATACATATAGAGAATATCCAAATCTGGCTTCATATGAAGAAGTTATGATTTTTTGAATTCTCAACGCAGCAGTGTGCGACATAGAAATCGAAAAAGAAATCGGTCGATTGTTAGGAAAAAATCTAAACGAGAGTTTAAAATCTTGTCATTACCTATCAATCAATATAAAGAAATCCAGAATGGATATCATGCGCGAAAGTTATGATTTTTATACAGATTTTAACAGTCTAAGCATGTTAAAAATATAGCTTTAAAAATAAATTGAGAATTAGCTGACAAGGTCAAAATGAAAATTGTAGATCTTGTCAATAGCTATGTGCGGTTATAAATAACATCTTAGGAAATACTTTTATGGGACAAATTGCGCATTTATAAAGTAAACTCTGTTTTGAATAAACATAAATAAAAAAGTCTTTTCTGACTGTGAAAAATGGGGATGTCACAAATCAACATCTCAAACCTCCAAACTCTGAAACCATGATAATTGAACAACATTCATAATGAGTGCTAGTTATTCATTAGAAAGTCTTAGAGCTACAAACAAGAAGAAGATTAAATAGTTAAGCTAACGAACCAAACCCTAATAGGCTAAAGACAAAAGGGTCTATAAACATGTAAGCTAATAACATATGGACTAACAATTACAATAAAGAATGGTGAATGGTCTTAGAAAAACTTGAAAAACAACAAAACTCCTCTCAATTGTAGGTTGTATTAAAATGGTTGTTGCAAGTTGGCTGTTTAAAAAGAAAAGAGTCCCAATCGTGCAATATAATTATTATTTTTATGGGTTTTTTAAAGCGTTTGACTGTCCGGTTGAACCTGTTTTTTTGCAAACGACCTTGTTTTTACTGGTTCGACTCAATCTGAACCAACCCGTTACAAGTATTTTTGACTTTTTCATTATTATCAGATTCACTTAATTAGAAAACGATTTTATCTTTTATTCTAGTTTCGTCATTGTTTATGGTTACATTTTGAAAACGTCTAAGTGAGACGGCTTTATGTCTGCAACTATATTCTGTTTCTATGTGTTCTTTCGTATACATCTATTATTTATTTTTTGACCTTTTTATAAACAGGTGCCCTATTTGAAACCTTTATAAAAGTTTAGTTATCATATTTGCCTTACACAATTAAATGTCTTTAATGTTGACTTGTCATATGCTGCAAAAATAAATGAAAAAAATAAAAAATAAATAAACAGCATTAGTGTGCTTTACTCTTTCACTCTTTGATTCTAGAGCTAATCTAAAAGCGACAGAAGGTGCAGCACTTTCTGCAATAGACATGTGTAGGAACTAGGAGACTTGCTTTAAAAAAAAAAAAAAAAAAAAAAAAAAAAAAAAAAAAAAAAAAAGGATAACTCACAAATGTTGGAGCTAATCTCTAAAAGACATTTTGTGCTATTAAAGTTGTGTTTGGCACACCACAACTAGTTTATTTTTCGAATTTTTTTAAATTGTTATGTTTGCAAGCCAACAAACAGCTTAAAAACTAGTTTTTTTAAAAGGCTACTTATAATAGCTTTTCATGAGCTTTTTAAATTTTTTTTACAGATATATCCTTAACTAATTATAAAAATCCTATTTTTTAATGCCTTTTATATCTTCTAGCTATCATATAAGCTAACCCTTATCTTTTCAGCCAAACATAACCTAAATGTCTTTAATGACACGCACACATACATAGACACAACTATAACTCTTTGCAACTCTTCAACCCAACCATCAGAAATAACTACCTAATTGCCATTGTGTCCAAATAACTAACAAATATAATTACAGAAATAACTACCGTAACTGCCATTATTTCCTATCCAAATAACTAACAAATATAATTACCAAAACAACCCTAAGTCAAGCTTACATTTCAACATTTGAGAGTTTAACAAAAAGCAAAGACCAAAACCATCATCATTCATCAACATCAAACTAAGAAAATTCATAACATACATATAATAACACTGAGGCATATGGAAACCGACCAAGTAACATTCAAGCAACTAAAATCATCATAAGTTACAAATACCTCATATAAAAGACTCATAGAGTTCATAATTTACAATCACCACCAATATGACACAAATATTACACTGCCATTATGTAAAATCAAGACACAAAACATTTTATTCATGACATTAACCAAAATGTTGTTTTCACTATTGTGGGTTTGGAGGGCGACTATTAGCAGCAGAGACTCGCGAACCCCACTCCAGTAACTCTTTGCTTGTGTCATCTTTATGCACAAATATTTCTATGAAACAAAGTGAATCTTTATGTGCTCCTGTTGCTGTAGCAATTGCTTCCACCAACTCCTCCTCAGTTCGAACCTGTTACCACATTTTAAGTAATTCATTTTGTGTTAAGAGACAAAAAGTTATTATTTTAAACCTTATAAGGTGTAAGTAAACACAATAAAAATGGTTTCATTCTTTTTTTTTTATCTAACCTTGCTAGTCCAACATTTGCCTTCACCATTGTGGATGGCATTGACAAGTCCAGTGTAGTCCCAATTCTTGATGACATTATAAGGCCCATCATGGATTTCCACTTCGATTGTGTAACCCCCGTTGTTGATTAGGAATATAATTGTATTTTGTCCACATCGAATCATTGTTGAAATATCTTGTGCTGTTACCTGATTAAAAAAAAAGTTAACGATTAATTAAATATCATTTATTAAACATTGTACAAAATTATTTCCCATGTACGAAAATTAATAGAAATTGTTTAATGTTTAATAATCTGACCTGGAAACTACCATCGCCAATGCAAGCAATAACACGCTTGTCTTTGGCTGCTTGAGCATAACCGAGTGTCGCACCTACAGACCAACCAATCGATCCATATTGCATCTGGAATTCATAACTTTATAAAAATTAAAAGTATGTCAGTAAAAATAAAAAAAATAAATATCATATTTCATAATTATATTATAAAATTCGTTCATAATTTGCGAAATTTCTTACCCACAATTTTCGGGGAGACGTAGTTTTTGACAATTGAACCACGAGTCACCTGTCTCAGCAATAACAGCAGTTTCACCACTCAACATTTCCTGTCGATGAAATAAATGTAAACAACAAAGAAAAAACAAATAAACTTGTAACGTGATAAAAAAAGACAAAACAAATAATCATACTTGAATATGTTTGAAGAGGATATTAACCCTAAGAGGTTCATCTTTCTCGTACTTTAAAGGCACACCATTGGGCACAAAGATTCTCCGATAGTTCTCCAATGCTGTATTATTCTTTTTCACCTTTTTAGCTAAAGCGCTCAAGAAATCTGCCATGAACACCCACCCTAAAGAAGGACCATGTCCAATTGTCACACGATTAGGCTGAACAATGATGGATTTTTCTTTCTTTATCAACAACGAGTACCCAACTGAGCTATAATCATTGAAAATGGGTCCCACGAAAATGTACGCATCAGCTGATTCGACTATTTCACCGACAAAATTCGTGCTAACTGCGCCCCAATAAGTGCCGATGAAATTCGGGTGGTGTTCGGGTACAAGTCCTTTGGCTGATGGCATTATGGATATTGGATACCCTGAAGCTTCTGCGAATTCCATAAACGCTTTTTGAGCCTTTGAAACTCTCAATTTGGATCCGGCTATGATCACTGGTTTCACAGCTTTGTTTAAGAATTTAGCTGTTTCTTCTACTGCTGCTTCTAGCCCTAATGGATTGCTGGATCTGTAGAAGATGTGGTGTGTAAATTACTAACAAATAATAGCAATGAAAGTATGTTGCAATTAAGCATTGAAGATTTAAAGTATATCTGATGATGGATCATAAGGCTTACATTGGTGGAAGAAAAAAAGGCACGGGTTCTCTGGCAAATGTAGGATAAGGAATTGCAGGCAGATTGCAACTTATACTGATATAAACTGGTTTGCTTTCTTTCAAAGCAGTTGAAATTGCAGTGTCAATTTGTTCATGTGCATCTTCCAAATTATTCACCACTGCCTGTTGTTTCATTCATCATAAATCCATCAATATCATACATATAACAATCATTGTTACTCAATTTGAAAATCGATAAAATACAAAAGTCTTGGAAATTAAAATTACCTGAGCACAAGTGACAGTTTGAAAACACTGCATTTCCTGTGTAAAATCCGGCAACCCAATTGTATGATGAAGAATCCGATTTGTCCCATAATCATTCGAATTGGGTCCACCGACTATACAAATCACGGGCAGATTTTCACTGTAAGCACCGGCGATCGCGTTGAGCACACTCAGCCCACCGACGGTGAACGTCACGACGCAGGCGCCGACGCCCTTAGCTCGTGCGTATCCATCGGCTGCATAGCCGGCGTTTAGCTCGTTGCAGCAGCCGACGAGGTTGAGACCCGGCTCGGCGATCAAGTGGTCAAGTAAAGTCAAATTGAAGTCGCCGGGAACAGAGAACACGTCCTTCACACCAATCTGAACTAAACGGCGAGCCAGGTGCGCGCCAAGGGTTTCGCTTGGTAACGGCGTGGTGGTTATCGGCTCTGTCTTGGCGCCAACTTCATAATCAGCTTCCATGGGATTAAGTTGATGCTGATAGCAATTACCAAAATCTTAGAGATAATAAATGGGAAATTGTTTCTAAATTGGGATTAGTTTAACGTTTGGGGTTTGCGGATGTGTACTTATACGCATAATTTTAGTGGGATCCTATTCATAAACAAGGTGGTGGTTTTGAAATTTGGACACTATGGGCTGTGGCGGCCATGAAGAATAACTAGGGTAGTAAAACTCCGCTCTTTTCTGCGGTTATATAGTATAATAAGTAAAATATAATTTAATTATATATGACAATATATTTCTGATTTGTGAAGATATTTTCACAATGTTTAAAAATATAACAATATATGTAAAACCTGAAAATATCTTAGTGTAAACACAAAAAAAACAAAGATGTAAAATCGGAAAAAATCAAAAATTAAAATACGTATAAATGATAAACTCAGGGGACCAATTCTGTAATTTTGATTAATTTATTCTTCAATAAAACAAACGCTTTTAGGGAGGCGCATAATAGAAGCTTGTGCTAGAAAACCCTTACAATAAGGAGAATGTGGCGCATGATTGTGGCTTAGGATAGTAAATCCTCTTAATTAACAGTAACTTTTGGTCGACATATATATATATATAAACTAGATTATAATCCGCTTTTAATGCCGGAGATCGCATATAAAAAACATACAAATATCTACAGATATTGTATAATAACTATTAAAAGAAATTATGGTTATTGGTATTATTCAAATGGGTAAAAGATAAATTGAAATCGATAAATATATATAATCGTTAAAGGACCTCTTCTTCGAAAACATTTTTTTTTATTAGTTAAATGACATTCATCGTCACATATATATACCTTCAAAATCATAGATAATTATATTAGTGCAATTTGAGGAAAGATTAATGGATAAAACATTAGGGAAGACTTTTTTTTAGTTTTTTTCTTGAAGAAAATGAATCATCATTTGAATTCATCACTTTGTTTTAGTGTTAATATGTAGGCATAGTAGTAAGTTTCATTATTTTACATGAGGAAAGTAATAATTATAATAGAGCAACATTATCTAAGAAATAAATGTTTGAAATATTTTTGGAGGGAAAAAATCGGGATCATTAATAAATTTATATAAGGAAAATACAAATTTAGATTTGATGAAATTATGGATGAAATTACTGACGAATATTATTTTGGAGGAATTGTATTTTGTAAGGTATAATACTATGACAAAATTCGAAATATGTAAATTTTTTGTGTAAATTTATAAATTTTATTGTTGCTATATAAAGATAAATTTAAGTAGGTTGGTATGTTATATAAAAAAATTAATCACTTTGTTTTAGTGTTAATGTTGCGTATAAAATCAAAATATATGAGCTGTAATATATATATATATATATATATATATATATATATATATATATATATATATATATATATATATATATATATATATGGGAAAAGTGAGTATGAGCTGTAATACATGCAACCTTAGGTGTTTTAACAGCTTTTTTACCCACCGCATGAATTCCTTGTTTTCTTCCGGAGCCCCAATTTTTCATTAATTATCACGTGCATTGGATGAAAATGAATTCACCTACATTCACTTATTTTAGGCATCTATAAATTTTTATATTATTTTTCTCTTGATTTTCGGCTCCCATGAAATCCTACCAATATTACAAAATTCATCTCAATTTTACCCATAATTCTTTCTCAACTTCGATTTATAGTGTCCATAATTTTTTTATACAAGTAACCTACCTATTTCTCTATTCTATATTTCATGATCCTCAATTGCATCGTTTAATCCAAGCGACCAGGTATGAATTAATTTAATTTTCTTTGTTATTGTGGTTCCTTATCAATTTTACCCACCCTTCCTTCTCAACTTTGAATTCTATAATCACTAATATTTTTTTACTAGATTAACCTACATAGAGCGTTGTTTTATCATTCATCCTCATTAATTTTGTGGGTTATCAAAGTTACCAGGTACCAACATGCTGTTAAAAAAGCTATTAATTTTTTTTTCATATTGACTTACTCAGTTCTCTGTTTTAGGTTGAATTTGATTCAATAACATCGAACACCTATAAAAAGTTAAGATCATGGATTTTGAAAACCCAGTAGCTAATCAGTCGTTTGCAACACATACAATCGAAGATATAGATGCAAATGTTTCTTTGGAATCAACATTTGAATCTGAAAAAGTAAATGAGGATATTGTGAATCTTGCATGTGATGAAGATGAAGCTAAGGATCTAAGTATTATGGGGAAGGTTTTCAGTACACCTAAGGATGCATATACATTTTATAACCAATATGCCTTTCTACATGGATTTAATATTCGTGTTCATTGGAGCTTTAAAAATAAAACCACAATGAGCCTTATCGGAAGAGCTATGTGTGTAATAAACAAGGCTTTAAAAGTTTGAAGGGTAATAGTTTATGTGGAGTTGCTAAGAAACGTCGTAGAAATTTGAGGACCGGATGTAAAGCAATGCTCCGGATATCAAAAGGAAAAGATGGTGAATGGTTTGTCGATGTGTTTAACGACACACACAATCACAATTTGAGTACAACTCCTACCAAAGTAATGAAACATCGTTCTCATGGGAAAATACACCGCTCAATGGCATGCAAGTCTCTTATGGTGGAACTAGGTCAATCAGGGTTAAGGCCTTGTCAAATCAAAAAGGCTGTAAATACAATGAAAACTCCATATGATGCCGATGTTACCTCAAAGCAATGTGCCGATGTTTTATCAGAGCAATGAAAACAATATAAAGGTAAAGATTTCTATGGGTTGATCAAACATTTTCAAGATAAAGCATTAATAGACAGTAACCAGTAGTTTGCTGTGGATTTGTTTGATGACGGGTCTCCTAAAAATGTTTTTTGGGCTGATGGAAGATCACGAGAGGCATATACTAAATTTGGGGACGTCGTTGTGTTTGATGTCACATACATGACCAACAAATTTAAGATGCCATTTGCTCCATTTATTGGTGTGAATCATCATGGTCAGTCTATATTGTTTGGTGGTGCATTGCTAGAAAATGAAAAAGAAGAAACTTTTCGCTGGCTATTTGAGCATTTCTTAAACTGCATGTTTCACAAGTATCCGGTGGCAATGATAACAAACCAGGATAAAGCTATGGGTAATGCAATCAAGAAAGTGTTTCCAAACACCTGTCATTATTAAGAAGCATGAATTAGAACATCTTCGGCCACTTATAGCCCGTTATAATGATTTTAAAGAATCTTATAGACAGTGGGTAAAGAGTGATACAACCGAAGAATTTGAAACCAATTGGGAAGTTTTACGTGGTAAGTATAACATCGAAACTAACGGTTGGATAACCGATATGTATAACCAACGAATACACTGGGCCAAAGCTTTCTTGAAAGATGTTTTCTTTGCTGGTATGACTACGAGTGGAAGAAGCGAGAGCATTCATTCATTTTTTGATGGATTTGTTAATTCCAAGACCATGTTGAATGAATTTGTACTCCAATATGATAAAGCAGTTGACTCTCGAAGGGCCGCCGAAGAAGATGAAGACTTTAAGACCATGAACTCCAATCTGATCCTTTCTTCTGTTCATCCGATAGAAGCAAAAGCAGGCCAGTTTTATACGAGAAAATTTTTTGAGGTATTCAAAAAAGAATGGATAGAAGCTAATTGTAATTTAACTCATGAGACTTTAAGTAAAACCACAGAAGAAATCAAATATAGGGTTGGGCAAATGGATATTGATAAAAGACAATTGAGAATTGTTATATTTCATTTTATGGATCATGTGAATGTCACGTGTTCATGTGCTAAGTATGAAACATATGGAATATTATGTAAGCATAGCCTTTACGTGATGAAGAAAATACATGTTGAAAATCTTCCTGATCACTATATTTTACCAAGGTGGACACTTAGTGCTAGGTATAAGGTGAGTACTGACAGCATTGGACTCGAAGATGTGAATTGTGAAAATGGAGTTAGTGCCTTAACTTTATGGTGTGTTCGTTCAAATTGTGATAAAGCAATCGAACAAGCAAGTGACTCCCTTACAGAGATAGAAAAATTCAATAGTTTCGTGATAAAGTTTTTAGAAGATCAAAAGATTCGGAAAAAGCCTAAAGCATTTGAGAATGTGTCTCAAGATCGTTACATGGGAATTTCTCAAGTAGATATAATGCCTCAATTATCTGTATCTGTCCGGGATCCTATTGCTCCGACAAATACGAAAGGGCGTCCTAAAAATGCAACTAGAATTAAGTCTTCTTTAGAGAACGTGAAGAAAAAGAGAACATGTTCTTACTGCCAAGGACTAGGTCATTATGCCACTGGTTGTCCAAAAAGAAAGGTAATTGTAATATTTATTTGATTATTCATGATTTCATTGCGTCATACTTATATTAATTATTATCAGGTGGATGAATCTGTAGCAGAAAAACAGTGATGAAAATGTGTAATCAAGTGGATGGGTTCTTTTTGTTGACTTCATGTGTTGCTTGTTGATGTTGGGAGGATGTCGTGCATCTTGTGTTTGGTTTCTGCTCATTATAGATGCTTCAGTTTACATCATACATCATTATTTTTTTCCTTAGAGAGAGCTTACAAAATTTTTTGGTTAATTTATGCAACTTTAATATCTATATTAATCCATTGAAAGCTTTTAGAAACATGGAATATTAATGAATAAATGGAGCTGGGATTTCGTTTAATGGTTTTTATCTCTTGATGTAAATATAGATTAAATTATTAGAGTTAATGTATGTGATTGTTGCTTAGATGAGGTTTTTTTAACTTTATAAATGCTTACAAAAGTTACTTTCAAAGTCACCTTATGACATTTGAACGTATTTATTAGTAATTTTAATAATATTTAAAGAATAAATTTGCAGGGATATGTTGCTACAGTAATATCATACTTTAATAAATTGACAAAACTATGAAACTGGAATATTTGAATATATATCAAAATTCATACAAGTAAGAATGTTATAACAATTTACATAACAAATAATGTGGTCTTTGTTATCAGAACTAAATACAATATTCTGAGCTACCTTTCCCAAAAAATAAAATATTTTCAGTTTAT